TCCCTGCTCAGCGGGGAGTCTGCTTCTCTCTCTCCTTCTGCACCTCCCCCACCGCTTGTGCTCTTTCTTCTCTCTCAAATGAATAAATCTTTAATTAAAAAAAAGAACGTATTTTCTCTAGAGGAATATGAGAAATTAAATTGTAAGGGTGTAGATTAAGGGAGGGATTAGGCTTGTGGGACATCAAATCACAGGTGATCTGTTTTTAGCCGCAGAAACTAAATATTCCAGGGATGTTTCAAATATTTCTTAGAAGGTGTAAGTTAAGCAAAGGCAAGAATAAATTTCAGATTTCTAATTCCTGCTGCTGACCTTCAGATCATGGTTTTACACATGAGACTCAGGTTAGTCTACCCAAACTGAAAGGCTTTTATTTCTCTGCATGTATGCTTATGTTTTATTTCTTTGAAGGTACTGTGAATATTCTCACAGGTGAAAATAAATCAAGGATTATTATTAAAACATATTTTCCTGAGCTAAACTATGCTCCTTTTATACTGAAGTGAATCAAAACCAAAAGAGAGAACAGCAATGTTACTGGCTGTATGGATCAGTATTTTATTAACACCCGAAAACATACAAACGTACCTCCATTTGAGAAGTAAATCTTTCATCTTGCAACCTACAGAATCTGGGAACCATCCCTCAACCTTAGCTGAGCTTCCAAGAATATAAGGGAAACTCCTGGAAGCCACATACACAAGGTGAGTTGTTGCCACTACTGTAGTCACTACACTACCCGGGACGTGGGATGCTATGCCAGTCTCTAAAAGCAAGGAGCCTACATTTTAATATCAATGTGGGAGAAAAAGATCTTGGCTCCCAGCGAAGTGAGGACTTGGAATTGAGGTTCTCACAAAAAGCCCTGAGACTCCAAACAGAGTGACACCCTCAGTGAAAAGGTAGCTAAAACAATAAAAGAGAACAAAATAAACCAGTGAACCAACACAGAGTAAAGACAAGGAAGGACACTTGGTTTCACCTAGGTGGAAAGGGACTGTTGTCATCCTGAAAAATAGTATCCACAGGGAATGCTGTTTGGAATATGAAAGGAGATTTAGGACATTAAACTGAGATTAAGGTTTAGCTAATGTTTTCCTCAAGACGTGGTAAATAAAGCAAACAAACCTGCTTTGGGATGACCTGCCCACAGTGTACATCCAGGAAAGTTTTGAAGAGGAATTCATAAAACAAATTTATAGGATATACGAAGAAACAATGCGCTATGAGCAAGAGCCAGAAGACACAGTAAGTTGAAAGATTAGAAATGTCCCTCTGCCAAAGGAATTTCAAATAATACTTTTATAATCAAATAGAGATAATAAAAAAACTAAACTCATTATTTTCAAAGTGAAAAGTTCATGTCACACGGCATGCACATTACATAGTACACACATTCAGGGAATTATATAAAAATGAACTGCTGGATGATGAGTGGGGAATGTTTTTCCACAAGTTCTGAAACTCTCTTTTACTACCCCACAAGTACACAAAAACCATAATAAAAACCCTAAGACTTCAAGAAATATCCAATACAGATTTCTGCACATTTAATTCCTGAACCAATCGTATGAACTAAGTAAAAGTCTGGCCAATCTCTGAGGCTTTTCAGAGTACACTGAACATAAACACAATTCTCATTTCACAGGGCTTGCTCTTCAACACCTAAGCATCCAGAATTGCTGCATTTTGTTCCAGTCAGAAATATGATCTAGAATAGTTGCAAGAAAATGTTTTCCAGCAGAAGAAAAGGGACTATATGCCTAATGTCTGATGTTACAGCTTTAAACAAGTATCTCTATACCAACTCCTAAGTATTCTTATGCATCACACCTGTCAAAAGCAAACGTGTTCTGAAGCGAGCTTTAAAGTGCTTTATCTTCAGGCAGACGCAGTGAGACCTAGTCTCAAAAGTCAACAACAGGGGTGCTTGGGTGGCTCGGTCTGGTTGAACGTCAGACTCTTGGTTTTGGCTAGGGTCTGGTCTCAGGGTCCTGGGATGGAGCCTGATGGGGCTCTGCACACAATGCAGATTCTGCTTGTCCCTCTCCCTCCCGCTCTGCTCCTCTCTCCCTGCTCTTGCTCTTTCTCAAATTAATAATTTTTTTTAAAAAGTCAACAAAAAACTGATATCCAAACCAAACTGTTATGATTTAATAATCTCTCAAAATAAACAAGGTACTAAATGACTAAGTGCAAATAAGATTGTAGTCATTGAGAACAGGACAACTTCAAATGGATATATCTTCAAGAGTGATGATAATTTAAGTTTTTAATAACTTTTGTGGCAATAACAAAAAACATTTGTATAGAAATGAGAGGGCCAGGAATGTTTTTGGTAGCTTTATAGTTTAAAAAATGCTATTTACGGGGCACCTGGGTGGCTCAGTCGTTAAGCGTCTGCCTTCGGCTCAGGTCATGATCCCTGGGGTCCTAGGATCGAGCCCCGCATCGGGCTCCCTGCTCAGCGGAGAGCCTGCTTCTCCCTCTCCCACTCCCCCTGCTTGTGTTCCCTCTCTCACTGTGTCTCTGTCAAATAAATAAATAAAATCTTAAAAAAAAAAAAAATGCTATTTACATGGGTTCTTCAGGTTCATTTACTTTGAATTCTGAAGAGCGAGTGTAAGAAATCAAGGGCTATCACAGAACTTCTAGTTCATTATATATAATACATTTATAGGTTAAAAAAATCATAAAACTAGAAAAGTGCCAGGACGCTTTACTTCCTGACATTACGACCTCTACCCCCACCCCTAAATCATGCAAAAGAGAGTTTGTTCTTTTCTAGCTATCCTCTGGTTACTGCTGAAGTATCTACATTCCTTCACTAAGCTGCTAGGGACTTATATTACTAATTCCCAGAGTACTGGCATTTCAAAAAAAAAGGAACCACGGTATGAAAATTACTTGCCCTAAAATCTGTTTGTCCATCTATCCCTGGGCACCGTCTTGCAAATATCAGGCCACCTAACTGACATACTGCTTAAAAAATCAATGTCAGGAATGAGTGGAAGTATGAGTTTGGTGTGGGCTCATTCTTTGCTTATTTCAGGATGCAGGAATGGTTTGTATCTATGACTTGTATTACCTATGATTATTTTGTTTTTCTTTCTGTCTTTTGTTTTTTTAAACATTTGTCTTCAATAGCTTCTCCTAATTTTGGAACTACCACATCACTAGCTGTTGGATGACAACTCACAGGTGAGTATGTGAAGGGAGACAATGAAGGGTCAAACAAACTCCTGTTCTCCAACAAATGAGTGTTCCTTGGGGGGCTTTCACCTGTAGCTACATCCAAACTGTTTTTTCAAAAAGCCCCAGGTCATCACCCCACCAAGAAAGAAGGTTCCTAAAATAGTAATGACACCGTGAATTCTGATGTGATGGAGGCCAGTCTCTTGAGGAAACAGATGATTTACAAACTTTATGATAAATTACTCCCTGTCCCCACCACCTTGCACTGTTGCACCATGTTGAACTAGATGTTCTACTGTTCCAAGGACCAGACAACCCCCCTAAGAAATTCAGGAGAAAACTGCCTCAAGAACTGAGCTATGTAGGAAAGCTAGATCTTAAAACTAGGGATCAGGTTTTTGATTTAAGTTTCCCTATGGATTAGACAGCTGAAAAAAGACAATAAACACCGAGGATGCTGATGACTAAAACCTCCCCACCCAGTGCATTTCTAGAACAACTGCTGGGGGAGCATGCAATTTTTTAATTGTATAATTTAACTTGAGGGGTATAGACAGAGCAAATTATACTGCATGGGGCACTACTGCACCAGATAGGCTATGCTGACTTATTCTTATGGGCCATATTCTTATGGGCTAATGACTCTAGTTGATAAGCCTCAGATAATTTTTGATTAAAATTATAAAAATTCAGGGGCACGTGGGTGGCTCAGTCAGTTAAGCGTCTGACTCTATTTCTGCTCAGGTCATGATCTCAGGGTCAGGAGATCAAGTCCCTGAGTGGGCTCTATGCTGGGCGTGAAGCCTGCTTAAGGTTCTCTCTCTACCTCTCCCTCTGTCCCTTCCCCACACACCCCAGCTCACTTGCACTCCCTCCCCCCACCTTTTCCTCTCTAAAAAAAAGGGACAGCACCTGGTGGCTCAGTTGGTTAAGCATCTGCCTTCAGCTCAGGTCATGATCTCAGGGTCCTGAGATTGAGCCCCATGTTGGGCTCCCTGCTCGGGGCGGGGGGGGGGGCGGGGGCAGGGAGTCTACTTCTCCCTCTCCCTCTGCCCCACCCCCCAGCTCATGCACACACTCTCTCTTGCGTGCTCTAATAAAATCTTCAGAAAAAATTATAAAAATCCAATATTCCTAAGATCCTAGGTGATGCTACATTAAATAAATAATTTTGAACTGGGAAGAATATAATACTTTGACAATAATAATGATAAAATTAGTATTCCAGGAAAAAATGAAACCTCTAAAGGAAAAAATGAAGAGCATTAAATTTCTCTGTGAATCAGAGAGGGCATTTTCATTTTTCAGAACTAGTTATAAACTTCAACATTGTGATTGCTATTCTTCTAAATCCCAGATTAAAGAAGAGATGAATTCCTTTATGTTTAGGATTGACTGGCTTCTAAAATTTTGAGAAGACAGGATTAAGGACTATAGGGTATGCTTGTTTAATTGGTTTCCAGCCCCAAAGCTACTAAATTAACCACTGAGGAACTGATTCATATGAACAAGGCAAAAAAAAAAGGAAAAAAGAAAAGAAAAACAAAAAACACATGTACAGTGACATATACCTTGGAGGCATTTTGTATATTTGAAATTTCATTTGCATTTTTTAGACAATGGAGTAACTCTTTTGCAGGCTGCACTAAAACATAAACACACCATTGAAGAAATCAGACTACGAATGTCAGCATTCATTTGATGTTTCTGGAAGTCAAGGAAAGTAGCCAATTAAAAAATAACTCAAACACTGCTTCTTTTTCATGTTCAGCAAGCATAAAATGATTAATGGCACAATAGCTTACCTGGGCCGGGGCTCTTTCTTGAACTTAGGTTCTGGGCATCCACAATCTCTTCTGTTTGCCCGCCTGCTTCTACCTCTATTTTGTTCTGAATCTCTTTTGCATCTTCACTAAGGCAAGTTCTTATGCTCTCGTCCTCTTCTAAGACCCTCTGGACTGCGGTGGGAACACCAGCAGTACTAACATTAGTGGCAGCAGCAGGAACAATGGCTGATGTGGGAGGAGGAGGAGCTGGAGGAGTTGGAGGAGATGGAGAAAAGGAAGGAACTGTGGAAGGGGTAATGGGAACTGGGACACACTCCACTTTCATTTCTTCTGGGGCATTTTCCAGAATCTCCAATTCAAGAGTCAATGGCAACACCTCCTGTTTTACTATTTCCACAATGCTCTCTGTGGCTGGTAATGTTTCACTAACTCCATTCATTTCATTAATTAGATTAGTACTAGAAATCAGTGGAATATCATTAGGTGCTACACTACAAGATTTCTTGCATATATCATCATCAATTACATCTGGTGGTGATGGATCTGATGTCTCTGTGCAAGATACAGGGCTGGGTACAGGAATTGTGTCTTCTTTTGAGGAAGAGAGTTCACACCTGTCATCTACAGCAGTGGCGAATATTGGCTGGCTACTAAGAGCAGCAGAAGTGGGGGAAGCAATTGTACTTTGAGCAAGCGGAGAAACAGTGGTAGGTGATGGAGGCAGAGGAAGCTCTGGCATGGATTCTACTGCAGTCGTCTCTGATGTCTGGCCTGCTTGTTCTTTCTTCTCTCCACTAAAGACTAGCCTAAGGACTGGGGAAGGAGACTTTAACACTGCATCGGGTTTTGGCTTCTCTTCTGGGGAAGAAAAAACAAAAGAGTTTAAGAATAATTCTTGGATCAGAGATTATATTGTATTATTTTGGGCTAGTTCTTTTAATCTCTTACCCAAAATAATAGGCAACAAAAGACAGACCAAATTATTAGACTTACTCTGCCACTCCAAAAAACCCTGTCATATTTTCTAGTTATACCTAGTGTTACTTGGTCACCAATAAACATAAAGTTAATTTTGGAGTAAAAGAAGGAATCAAATATTAACCATAAAATTATATCAAGAATACAACAGAAAAGTTCATCAAAACTGAAGCTAAACCATCCAGAATTGGGAATGGGGCTTTTATTTTTTTAAGTAAAGACCTTCATTTCTACTGTATCTTGCTCCCTACAGAAGATTTTTCTACCAAAGATACACTATAGTGGAAGAACAGCTCAAGAACAAATAAGTACAGATTAAATTATTATAGACTGCTATTTTTACTTTATACATTTCTGCATTTAGGAGAATTTCGGTAAAGAATGTGTATTACTTGTATAAAAAACTGTGTTTTAAGAGAAGCTATCATGGTGTCATTTATTATCAGTGCAATTTATTATCTTTGAAATCAGGTCCCTGAATATAAAAATTCATTTACAAATTAAGCTTTCATTTTTCAAAAGAGGCAGCATGTGTATAACCAGAAATGTGAAAATATAAAAATGTAAATTTATCTTGTAAAAAAAAATTCTTCAAGGAGAAACCAAAGTTAATCAAGTCCAATTAAAAAAAGAACATAATACATACATCTGAAATACCTGAGAATATATAAAATGTGTATCTGTGTATAGATGAAAAAGAATGAGAGCAAGAGAGAAACTGATGATCACAATAAAGGTATACCAGAAACATGTAAGAGACTGTAATTCATGAAAATTTCCATATTCTAAAATTCTAGGTAAACTGGTATGTGATTCATTCCAGGGTGGATGAAGCCAAAGGAGAGTGACTCGTTTCCAGCCTGATGCTTCTGTAGCATGATAAACAGGCTCCACTGGAAAAAGATGCTCATGAGTATGTTCATCAAATAACAAAAATTTTAAGCACTACTAAAAGACAGTTTAAACTGAAAGGGACTTTACTTTCTCTGCCAGAAATCTCTATGCATCAGTGAAAATGAGTCTTTACAATAAATTATTGTACTTAAGTTTGTCATAGAAAATATGCTCTGTTAATCAGAGAAACAGATGGTTAAATATTACCATTAAGTTGTTAAAGAATAACTCATCCTTTAATATCATTTATCATTCATCATTCATTAACTACTTTTGCTGGCCTTAAAATTCATTTTAATTTATGGGTGCAGAGACCAGTACAGTACCTATTTACTGTACAGGAGAAATAGGATCATTAGGCTCTCACTGTCAAATCCCTCAGTCTATGTTGTCAGGGCAAAAGACAAAAATATTTCAAAGAAATCTATTATATGTATTATATATGTAAGAAATATATAATAAATACACATTTATTAAAATATTGCTCATGAAGATAATTTTCAACTCACTGGAGTAACTGCTACAAAGGTCACCCAGATTACATGAAAGCACTGTGAAAGCACATCAGAGTAACACCCTTTATAAACACTGAATGAAACCTAGAAGCAGTAAATAGTAAAAAGTAATTCTCACATTAATAATCTAATAAGTATGTCAATTCTATTATTAATTTTGAAAAATAAAATTTCTGATACCAAAAGCAAACAAAAGCAGACCTAGGACTGAAATTTCTATATACTCTTGAGAAAAATCTAACATGAAGAAAATTAGAAACAAAAAAACCTTTTTGAGAGGTCCTCATTCTGAAAAAAAACTCCTTTAATTCATTCAAGTTTTAATACAGAAAGCTGAAAAGTATACTACAGTAAACCTAAATAAAGAACACTGATTTTATCTAAGAACTTTTACTATTAAGAGTATATTGTGCAAAGCCATGATAGTCTGAAATCTAATATACTGCATTACAAATACTTCTACCATTTGTCCATCTTTAGGAAATTGTGGGAATTCCATAATAATCATGCAAGAGGGAGCAAAGATAGAGGTCTGGAAGATTTAAGGCTATTTATATTAACTGCATAATACCAACAAAATAAGAGAAATAGACTAAATGATCTAACATGAAGGATTTATTAAAGAATTAACAGTGTGGGCCATATAATGGTATATTATGCAAACATTTAAAATAGGCTTTTAAAACAGTAATGATATGGAAAGTATTTTTATAATAAAAGATGTTTTTTAAAAAGGGCACAAACCTGTATGGAGAACATAAACCTAATTTGGTAACTTAAAAAAATATATGCTACTAACATATGCATATGGGAAAGTCTGGAATTAAGCTTACTAACAATAGCTCTAGATAATGAGACAAGAGATACTTTCTCTTTCTACTTATCCATAGTTTATACAATGAATGCCAGATTTATAAGGAAAAAAACTGCTCCCTTTATTCTCTGATGGCAGTGAACCAACTGCCTAGGTGGGTACCTTTGGTTGCCAGGAGTCTCATGTAACTGAGAAGGTGATACCATAATTTAATGGGCAGAGACTAGGAACGGTAAGCATCCTGCAACTTGAGGGACAATCTCACTTGACAGAGAATAGTCCTGTCCTAAATTCCAGGGGAGCCCCAAATGAACAACATTGCTATAAATCACTGAATTACAACAGAATATCATTCACTGAATATCTACTCTATACTAAGTGCTTTCAGAAGGCACTAAGGCTAAGACTAAGGAACAAGTAACTTTTATTTGCATTTCATTGTCCATACCATAATCCTCCACACACTGGGCTGAACGTACCTACTCAAACAATGGCAAACAACAATCAAGCTGTGTCTAGACATCATCAACGCCAACTGATGATTTTAATTCATTCAACATTCAATGGCTTTCTCTCTACAAACGAAGCTGAAGGTCTTCCCTGTGTCTTTGTATCTTTATAAAGTACCAAGTAATTGGAAATGTCATATTTGTCTGGCAATTTGGTGTTCATGTAACCATTTCAGCTTTTCATATCACAAACTCTGAGAAAACCAGAAGTTTATTAATGGTAGCTAACATTTATTAAGTACTTCTTAAATGGTAGGACTGGGCCAAACACAAAACATACATAGTGTCCTTTAATTCTTACAACCACTGCTGGGGTAGAAACTATTATGTTCCTGTTTTATAGATGGGGAAACTGAGTGTTTTATAGATTAAGTCATAGGTCTAACAACTGGTCAGTTGAAACTTGAAAATGATTCAAAATCCCACATGTTTTCAGTTCAGGGGGGAAAAAACAAAGGTGTATGGAAAAAGAAGTACTTAGGTGAAGCAAACTGGTAGGAGACTTTGGGGCTAACATGTGATTCTGTTACCCAAAGCAAATCCACAGGAATGACATTTCCACTGAGAGAAAAACCAATCTGACTGCAGAATGCAGAGTCTATTATTTCTGAAGGTAATCCAGCAATCTCTGAAAACAGTACATTTTCCTATCTTTAATTTCAAAAGGAATCTAGAGTTAAGAAGAAAATGTTTAAATTTCTTAACTGTAAAAAATTTTTTTCTGAAAATTGCTGAGTCCTTTCTAATGTTATTTGAATTACATACATTTGGTTTAAAAATTACTCTGAAAACTATTCTGTATGTTGGCAAACTATGGGTACAATTAGAAATAGAATTAACTGAGTTTTCTGGAAAATAATTGGTACTAAGAAGGAAAGGGCAGTAGTCTCCCAGAGTTATTTATAAGCACTACAAAATATACTTAAAATTCAGATTTTTCTTTCCATCAAGGTAACCTAAAACATTTTCAATGCACTCTTATCTATATTGAACATCAATCTGGAATGTTTATTATTCAAATTTCTACTAATCTTAAAAAAACGAGAGGAACCAAGGGTTCTGCATTCTTCCTTATGGAAATCAAGGCCTAAATATGACAAAATGAAGGTGTTTCATAATCTAAAATTTGTAGCAGGGCGGAGCTATCATTATTAAGACATCTTATGAATTCTTTATATAGTGGCCCAGCTGAAGTCTGCATAGACCATAGATACACTGTGAGGCCTCTTTTGATGGTAAGTATTCAATGTGTTTAGCATAGTTCTAACTAGCAAAAAGATTACAACTGTGCAAACTAAGTAATAAAGTTTTTAAGAGAATACCCTGAAAATTCTTCTCTACTCTGAAAACATTCCGATTTTTGACTCAAAAAATAGAAACCGTCTTCTACAATACCTACCAAGTGCACTCCTGCAAGGTGAATGGCTTTCGTATTAAAAAACTTAACCCTAAGCATGCATAAGTCTTTTTTTTTTTGGAGTTTTATTATGTTACTCACCATACATTATATCATTAGTTTTTGATGTAGTGTTCCATGATTCATTGTTTGCGTATAACACCCAGTGCTCCATGCAGCACGTGCCCTCTTTAATACCCACCGTCAGGCGAACCCACCCCCCCAACCCCTTCCCCTCTAGAACCCTCAGTTTGTTTCTCAGAGTCCATAGTCTCTCATAGTTCGTCTCTCCCGTCTGAACACTGCTCAAAGAAGTATCTGACAGAGCAACTTTTAGAAGCATGCCAAGTTAGGGTTTGTTACGTACATTTTGGTTTGGAACAATCTTATAAAACAAAACATAGGATGTATCTCTGTTCAAGTTTACTAGGTTCCTCAATACTAAAAGGGAAAAACATCTTATTATCTTTGTATGCTCTAGAAAACACTGAAATCAAACATAAGTTTCTAAGTGTGAAAACTTATACAAAAAACCCAGTAATATTAAATAATATTGCTTAGGTTATGTGCCAATTCCCAAGTACTTTTTAAAGAATAATTTTTAGAAAGTACATTACTAACATCCACCTATGAAGGGGTTTGGAGGAATGAATAAGTCAAAAAATTAGAAATCACATAAGCTTTCTATTCATTTCTTACAATGAAGTCAGAAACATTATAGTAGCATGCTCCAAGTCACGTTTTCTCCTATGTTTTTCCAATTTTTCCCAATTTTGGTTAAGGTCAACCTAAATCCAGCTACGTAAGAAAGAAAGACTGTGATATCCCATTTTCTGACATGAGCTTTCCCTTACAGTTTTCTTTTATAATCCAAAAGGCAATGTGTGCATTTATTTCAACAAAAATTTTACACTTCGTGTTCAAGGTAAATAGGCGCAGAGACCTCAGTACGATTAAGATACACAGCATAATGACTCATCAAGACCAAATACTAGTGCATGATGGAGCCAGAATAAACTCAGTACTACAGAACTGAGGCTACAGAAGCCAAATTTGTAAGAAGAAATATTTCATGTTTTTAAAAACAGCAAGATACACAGGAACATGTTAAATATATAAATAAAACTATGTTATTATTGTAAAGCAATATATACTTTGATTTATTTCCCCAACCTTGTTCCACTTCCCACCAAAAAACAAACAAAACCAGTTTCAGGCAACTAAGTTTTTACCTATAAATATGTATCAACAGTGAGGCATTAATAAAATATAGGAAAAAATTTTACTCATCAACCCTACTTTACTTTCCTGGAGGTAGAATGCTTTGATTTTCCATTTCAAAGCTTTGTTTAACAAGTAGGTATCTAAATAACCCTTAGATGTTTCACTCTTGCTCTTAAATGCTGAGGGCAATATAATTAATTAAAAAAAAAAAAAGTGAAGAAAACAGTTATACACAAACCTTGCTTCTGGTCGCTAGCTGCAGTGACAGGGGTGCTGGAAGCAAGATGAGCACTCTCCACAGTCCCATAAACCACAGGGCTGTGCTCAGGGACCTGGCTGGACAGCTGCTGGGATTTGAAGTACAAAAAAGGGTGATAATGAGCGTGCGAACATAAAAACTAGCAACATGGAACCCAAGCAAGTGGGGAACACAGAGTGGGGCAGGAGATCACAAAATTAAAAAAAAAAAAAAAAAAAAAAGGAAAGCAAGGAAAAAATATATAGGCCAATTTAATAATTCAAAAAGTACAGAAGACAGCAAGAAAAGGAAAGAAACAGCAGAAAAGGGGAAGGAAAAGAGATGATTACTATTAACCACAGCAAGAGAAGACAGCACAAAAATCATTAATATAAATGCATTCTCCAGGATTCCTTCTAAGGACAAACAGACTTTCCACCTAATGGTAGACATCACATCTGACAGGGAATTTAATAACCTCCTCCAAGTCAAAGACCAAAGGGATTTGGTCAACTTCACTTATAAACTACCTAGCAAAGTAGTTCATCTGACAAAAGCTAGAAAAACAAAACATGATGGGTTTTAAAACCAGTCACTGATTCAAGAAAACAATACTGAAGGGTGATCCTCGTCATTTGTCCACATAATCACACAGGTGAAATACAACTGGTAAAGTATCTAAAGGATTTTCCCCTTAAAATGTCTTTAGATTCTGGGACAAGGATGGTATCTTTTCAGAGTCAGAAATCTGAGTAAAATACCTGTTTTTCAGAGCTAAGAGGAAACTCTTCATTTTCACTCAGCCACTTTATTGGAATCCAAAATGGCCATGAAATACTAGCACAGTAGGTTGAAAAAATTGCAGCCATTGTTCAACTTCGGAGGGAACAAGAATTACACAGGAAAGGACAAGAACACAAATTCTACATCACTTTCCATGCAGGTATTTGTTTTGGATTTGAGGGTTACACAAAACCCAAAAAACAAACCTATGTCTCTCCTCAGAGATCTAAGGTCATTTTTTCATTAGCTATAATCTCCTACATTGAATTCTATCAGTGCTATCAGAGCAGAGTCCCTGCACAATTCTGATTGTTGTGTGAGTGTGTGTGTTTTAGACACGAGGGGGAATAAAGGCGTGAATGAATCTGGGGTGAGTAGGGCCACTTAAAAAAGTGAGTGTTAATAAAAAATATTTTCAAATCAATAAGTCTCATTGAGAATAGGAATATAAAATAAATCAGTTCAGACGCATACCATTTATCATGTCATTTAAGTAACTACTTTTCAAAACGTACAACATGCAATTTACATTTGATTATATCTGGACTGTACAGAATAACAGGAATAGGGAAAATTCACCTATTCATTAGATGATGAGAATGCTCATATTCCAAATTATTTCTAAAGACTACTAAAATTATATTTCTATATAGAAAAAATGAAAAGAGTTACTGTTTTCACTTTGAATCGAATAAATTAATAGTACTGCCATAATTGCTCTGAGTCCTTAGTTCTGGTGGGAAAAAAGCTGTGTTATTAAAACTCAAAAATAGGACCTCTTCATAGCTATAAATGAAAATATGGACTCCGTTCAGTTCTAAGCCTGAAAATAGCTCTAGAACAAAGGAAAAGCCCTAAGTTACTTAGCATTTATTAAACAGGAAATAAAGACCTGTAAATTGTATAATTTACCTAAAAGGAAGAAAATATTAACTACTCCAGTTGCCTGGGAAATTAATAACCTCAAAAATGGGAAACTGCGAAAACCAGGTCACCAAAATGACAGCGATACATAAGGTGAGATGTTTAAGACAGTAAAAGGCTTACTGACACCTACACATCTGTGTTGATCAGAGTTTTTCAAGGTCAGAATAAAATATCTGCAATCATATTCAAGAGACAACTGCATAGACATTTTTAAATTAACAAAGTCCTAGAAGATTTTGCATATAAACATTTATAAGAAAGGACGCCTGGGTGGCTCAGTTGGTTAAGCGACTGCCTTCGGCTCAGGTCATGATCCTGGAGTCCCCGGATCGAGTCCCACATCGGGCTCCCTGCTC